CCTACAGCCAGAGGAGGGGCCGAGAGGTTCAGCAGACTGTTTGCTCTTAATGGCTTTTTGGAATAGCTCTGTGCTGACCACTGTGTGAGTTTTGTGGACAACTTTGATCTCTTCTGGGAGAGAAAACATCTCTTCAGGTCTGATGGAATGACACTGAATCAAACTGGAGCACAACTTCTGGCTTCAAACATGAAGTATTTCCTGAACAAAGTTCCAGCTGGAAACAAACAACAGGAAAAATCACAACAGCTGACGTCTGAAGGACAGCTGGAGAAAACTGAGATATCAGTGGAACACAGCGTGCCAATTACTGATAAGGAGACTGCTTCAGAATCAGAACCAGAGAGAGAGGAGTTACTTCAAGCTGCAGAACCAGCATCACAAACAGAGGATCTCTTGGACCCTGAGACCCCTGCAGGACAGCAAGTGGAATGCCCCMTCCTGGATAMGTGACATTATTGCCAAAGGGAGACACATTGTGGGGCACTTCAGACACTCTCCTTTAGCATATACAAGACTTCAGAGTGTACAGAAACAACTTGGCCAGCCCASCAAAAGTCTGCAACAAGATGTCAGCACTAGGTGGAATAGCACCTATCATATGCTCCTCCATCTCCTTGAGCTAAAACAAGCATTAGGTGTTTATGCAGCCRACTTTGAGCTACCTGCTACTTTTACATCTTCCCAGTGGGAATTGATTGAAAACATAACAACACTCCTGGAACTTTTTGAAGAGCTGACTAAAGAAATATGCTCATCCAAAGCATCTGCTGCTGCTGATATCATACCCTCTTTGACAGTTTTAAAGCATTTCCTCATCAAAGATGCTGCTACATATCAAGGTGTGAAGACAACTAAGGCCACACTGCTGGAATCTGTCACCAAAAGATTTGCTGACATTGAAGATGAGCCCCTCTACAGTTTGGCAACAGTCATAGACCCAAGGTGAGAACATAAATTCCCAAATAATGTTTTAAAAAATACATGTACATTTTTAATGTTTTTATTCTCAAGTGGCCAGAAACAATGAGTTTTGTTTAAAGCTATTATTCTCCTCTTCCCCATTCAAGGCACAAAGACAGATTTTTTTTCTGAAGGACTCAAGACCAAAGCACAAAGACTGCTTCTTGGTCTGTTGACAGAAGCTGCTCAAAGGAACCCAAAGCAAACACCTGAAGCTACCAACACAGGGGAGCCAGCAGAGAAAGTTCCACGAGCAGGATCCTTGTCTTCAATGTTTGGTGAAATCCTGGCAGAAGAAACCATGCAGCAGGCTCACGCAGACAGTGCATCACCATCAAAGATGATTAACTCTCAGAGCCACCTATCTCTCGAAGTTCATCACCATTGGAATACTGGAAGACTAACCCCCAATTTACATTGCTTGCTTTCCATCTCCGCTCCGCTCCGGTCCGACCTCCGCAGCAAATACACACCCTTTATAATCAATGAGAGTGTTTACACTGGGCAGCGGTGAGCGGACGGCGATCCATCAAAATTAGAACAGATCCTATTTTTGCCGGATGCCGGAGCAGCGCGGGAGTCAATTATAAAAGATTACATCACACCAACAGGAAAAGACAAGAGCACAACATCCGTATTTTCAAAATAAGACACTATTCGGCAGAATAATTTGTCGGAATARTGTCGAAATTGTGGCTATATTAATAAATATACGGATATATTTCTACACAAATGCTGTCAGAATGTATCGTTCTGTTTGGGAAGCAGATGGAAACGTAGCATGAAGCATATGTGTACACACACGATACACGTGGATTTTATTTTGAAATCAGAAGTTTCAGAAAGCCGACAGCGAGACAGTTTCAACCATAGACACCAAAAGCCTTTATATCATTGTTTTCAGCTGTGTTTGGAGTTCGTCTTTCACAGAATTAATTATTTTTTGCTGTGACTTCCACATTTATCACTGAATTTATTGTGCAATCTGCTTCCTGCATGTCTGTCGGACCGGACCGGAGCGGAGGTGGTGTAAACTGTACTTGAAACGCACAGCTGCGACCTGCGCAACGGAGCGCAGCGGAGACGCATGCAGTATAAATCTGGGGTAATAAGGAATGCTTTCCAGACGTTGCTAGAGTAGCAAGAGCTTACCTGTCAGCACCCTGTACAAGTGTGGAGAGTGAGCGCACATTCAATGCTGCATCCAACATTGTGGATAAACACAGGAATAGACTCCTGACTGAAAAAACTGAGATGCTCCTGTTTATTAAGAAGAAYCTTCCCACAATGCTTATCAACAAGTCATAAGGACTTAGCATTTTTAATGCTGTTCAACATTGTTCCCTGTTCAAAGCAAATGCACTTAGACATGTTATTTAAGTAGCAAATGGGGTATTTTATTTTATATAAGAAGTAACACCCATTATGTTTTTTTATTGAAAGCAAGGTAAACATTTTGTTTTTTTCTTTGATAATGCACGTTTGCTGATGCACAAAACAGCAATTCTTGCTCTCAGGTATTATTGATTTTGTAATTTTTGATTATTTATTTGAATGCACTCCACCTTGCACTTTATTTTTTACTTTATTTATGCAATGTTGTGACATTTATTTGACTTTGCACTATTTAGCCTGTTGAGAGCTAAAATGTTTTCACTCTGTTAAAGATTCTGTTACTGAGGTAAATTTAAGTTGKTTTTTTTTTACTTTTAACTGAATAGTTGTTGCATTGTGCCTGCAAGTTTGTTTGTATTTGTTCTCTGAAAAAAAAGAGTAAAATAAAGTTTTTGTCTAAATTAWGGTGATTTTATGGTTCTTATCAGATCTTGCAGCCAGCAGTAGCACTTATAACTAAACCAATTAATTTACAGTCAACCCATCTGATCGGTATCGGTGATCGGCACTCATAGGTGATCGGTATCAGAATCGGCAGCATGAAACCTGATTGGAGCATCCCTACATATTATACTCGACAGGGTTCAACAAGATTTTTATTTTTTACCTGCCCGATAGGGCAGGTTGTAATGGTTCCCGTGTTGTACGAGGAGGCAATCAAAGAAGTATGAGATCGCTGATGCAGTAGATTGACATTTATTTTATCATTAGCCTGACCACATAGCAAAGCTATAATCAAAAGCGTCATACAGGAAGTACAATATATATCTGGTATTTATACCAACAACAGCCAATAGGAATGCTGTTTGTTAGGATGTGGCAAAGGCGTTACTAAGAAACACCCTACATAGAACATCCCCCTCCTTTTAAAATTACAATTAATAACAAAGCTTTAATATTCTTAACAGATACAAAAGTACATCTTCAAAACAAACCATACAAAATAATGGCAGTACAATATAAAATATATTCTTTTTTTCTCTCCTTTCTTCTGGCAGCCCTCTGCCTACACACTTTACAAGTCCAGAACTTTTCTAGGTTTAACCTCTCGTCAAGAATGTGTCTGATAAGGAACAATGGCTGGAACAGGTTTACTGAGCTCCTGTGTGATCTGAGGTACTTCGCTGCCTGGAGTATGCTGCTCATCAACTTCTGATGGCGACAGAGCAGCAGAAAACTGGTGGTTCTCCTTTGTATCCAACAAATGGTGCCTTTTTCTCCTGTAGTCCTGTCCATCAGGAGCGCGAATGTGATAAGATCTGGCGGTGTCTGCTGGCTGGATCACAACGGCAGGTTTCCAGTGTCCCTGCTCCTGAAGCTGTCCTTCCTGTACCTGCATCATTGGTTTGACTGCCATGTCATAGTACCTTTTCTGCTACTGCTGTTGGCAAATCCTCTTTCCTTTTACATCCTCTGGATAAATGACTTTTGGCTGGAGCTGCTGCTGAGTATTTGGCAAGATGGATTGCAGACTGCGACTCATCAGTAGCTGCGCTGGAGACCTGAAGTTGTCGACAGTTGTATTCCGGTACTCTGAAAGACTCAGATACACATCGTTACTATTAGCTTTGGCCTTTTCCAATAATGACTTGGCAATCTGCACCATTTTTTCAGCAAGTCCATTACTTTGAGGATGGTAAGGGCTTGTAGTGATGTGGTTAAAGTCCCAAGTGTTAGAAAAAACTTCAAATTCCTTACACCTGTATTGTGGTCCATTGTCAGATATCAGAGTAGCTGGTATGCAATGTCTAGCAAAAGCAACCTTTAACATCAATCACTGTAGCAGATGTGGTGCTGTTTAACTTCTCAAGCTCAAAATACCTGCTGTAATAGTCCACAATGATAAGATAGTTATCATTGTTCCAGACAAACAGATCAGTAGCAATGATCTGCCAAGGTCTATCTGGGATCTGATGGCTGATCATCAGTTCTTTGGTTTGAGAGGGTCTATGTTCAAGGCAAATGGAATGTTTCCTAATCAGCTCCTCTATCTGTTTATTCATGCCAGGCCAAAACAGTATGTCACAAGCTTTTAGTTTGCATTTTTCAATGTCCATATGTGCAGAGTGAATGTGAGACAACATTTCAGGATGCAGTGAGAGTGGAATGATTATTTTCTCACCTTTGAAGATGATATCATGCATCACTGTCAGTTCATCACAATAATTCCAGTAGTCCATGATGTCTGAAGGACATCTCCTCTTCTCCTCTTGCCAACCCTCTTTGAGTCTTTGGATCCTTTTCAGTCTCCATCTTAATTTCCTGCAGTTTCCTGACACTAACGGGCAAACTGCTGAAGACTGGATGTACATGCACATCAATTCCTTCACTGAGAGAGTTATCACAGTCAGGTAAAGGTTTTCTAGACAGTGTGTCTGCAAAAGGGATGTCTTTACCTTCCTTGTGTCTGATGGTGAATTCATACCTTTAGAGTTGTAAGATCATCCTTTGAAGCCTGGGTGCTGCTGCAAGTGGTTTCTGCATGATGGACTCAAGTGGCTTATGACCGCTGTCCACAGTAATGTGACGTCCATAAATATAATGATGGAAGCGCTTACATCCAAACAACACAGCATACAGTTCTTTTTCAATCTGAGCATAATTTACCTCACAGTCAGTCAAGGACTTTGATGCATACCCAATCGGTTCCCCTTCTTGAAGTAAGGCTGCCCCAAGCCCGTATTTCGATGCATCAGCTTGAAGTGTGAGCTTCTTACTGCTGTCCATGTAAGCCAACACAGGTCCTGGCTCCTGTGTTATCAGCTGTTTGATGCTTCTGAATCCTTCATCAGGCTGCACATCCCACAGAAACTCACTTGATTGCTTGAGCAGGTGTCGAAGAGGCGCGTTGAACTCTGAAAGCCTAGGAGCAAACTTAGATATTTAATCATGCCCAATATAGTTTCCAACTCAGTTTTGTTTCTGGGAGGCTCCATGTCACGAACTGCAGCCATGTTTGCTGGATCTGGCTTAATTCCATTCTTTGTTATGCGATGACCAAAGTAACTGACTTCAGAGGCACGGATTATGCTCTTTTCAGCGTTAAGCTTAACTCCACGCTCTCTAGACCGCTGCAACACAGCACGCAGATTTTGATTATGCTCCTCTTTGGTCTTGCTATACACAAGAATATCATCAACAATTGCCACAACTCCTTGCAAACCTTCATACGTCTCACCCACTTTATGCTTAAACACGTCCTGGGCTGATTTTAGCCCAAAGGGAAGGCGGAGGAATCTGTATCGGCCAAATACAGTATTAAAGGTGGTCAATTTGGATGACTCTTCAGTTAGCTTGACAGCCCAGTAGCCAGATCTAGCATCCAGAACACTAAAATAACAGGCTCCTGATAACATGAGTGTGATGTCATCAAAAGTAGGCAATGGATAATAAGGACGTTTGATTACTTTATTTAAATCTTTAGGGTCCAAGCAGATTCTCAGCTTACCAGTACGTGGTTTTTCTGCTGCAACCATTGAACTGACCCAGTCTGTCGGCTCTGTTACCTTGACAATGAACTGCTGTTTTTCCATATTCAGAAGCTCATCCTTGAGGCGATCCCTCAGGGCCAGGGGAACTCGTCTGGGAGGATGCACCACAGGAACAGCCTTAGGGTCAATGTGGGTTGTGCATTCACCAGGAAACAATTCAATTCCTGTGAAAACATCTGCAAACTCATCCATAAATTGCCTCTCAGGGTTATCATTCACAGACAAGATCACCTTTATTAATCCAAAGTCAAGACAGGCCTTTAAACCTAATACTGGTGGAGCATTGGTGTCAACAATATGCATTTCCAGCCTTAGTTGAATGTTTTTGTACTGGCATTTCATGTTGCTTCTGCCTCTCACCACCAGACGTTGTCCTCCATATCCATAAAGTGGGTGTTCTGAAGGCTGTAACACACATTTAAGGTTTAATGTCTCAAGCACACATGGAAATCACATTGGCTGAAGCTCCTGTGTCCAGCTTAAAGCAAACCGTGGCCATGTTTGGGCCCACCAGTACATTTGCTTAAGCTTGTTCAACCTCTTTCCTGACACCTTTATGTGAAACAGTGTCGATAAACAAGCCTTCTGGGTTGCTGGCGTCTTCTTCATCATGCACCAATATGCACTGTTTTTCCATACCTGGAAAGACAAACTTTTGTAAAATCATTCCACTTCTTACATATGTTGCATTGCTTTCCTTTTGCTGGACAGTATTCATTTCTTCCATGAGCTTTATTTCCACAGTAGTTGCATGTTTTGAGACATTCCCTATCTCTATCTGACTTGGCTGTATGGCTGACATGCTTTTCCATCTTATCCTGCCGCATTTTCCATGTTGCCCCTTTTAAAGACTGTTAATAGCATGGACATCCTGCTCATATGCATAACTACTGCCGCCTGCTATAGTTTTCAACCGAGCTTGTGCCATTTCATGAGATCTAACAATGTCTATTGCTTTTTCTAGAGTCAAGTCTGATCCCACATTAAGCAATTTTTCTCTTACTCTTGGGGACTGTATGCCAAAAACAATGCGATCTCTTATCATTTCTTCACTATTAGCATAACTGCAGTCTTTCACAAGCAGCTTCAAGTCTGTAACAAACTGCTCAAATGATTCTCCGACGCTTTGTACTTTTTCATGAAAATTATAGCGTGCAAAACTGACATTTGTTTTGGACGAAACATAGGCCTCAAAACGTTCTTAATAAGTTCTGAGTACCTTTCACTCTTCTTCTTCCAGTGTATTGAAGATGTCTCTTCCTTTTTCACCGACCCAAAGAAGCAGGTAACTGCATTTTTCATCCTCTCCTTTCTTTTTGAATGGTCCAGGAAACATCAATTTGACACGTAGTTTGAACTTGCACCACGCCTCCGGCAAGTTTCCGGCGTCCCAGTTCATAATTGGAGAAGGTACTCCTGCAACGTCTATTTCCGCTTCTTTCAGATGGTTTCACTCCTGACACCATGTAATGTTTCCCATGTTGTATGAGGAGGCAATCAAAGAAGTTGGAGATTGCTGATGCTGTAGATTGACATTTATCATTAGCCTGACCACGTAGCAAAGCTATAATCAAAAGCGTCATACAGGAAGTACAATATACATCCGGTATTTATACCAACAACAACCAGTAAGAATGCTGTTTGTTAGGAACTGGCAAAGGGGTTACTAACACCCTACATACAACACAGGTGATAAAGTGTTACCTGCCCGACATAAAACGTTACCTGCCCGAAACAAAAATGTTCAAAGTTTAATAAAGTATAAGTAATACTTGTACTGTATTTTATACTACAAAAATATGAACATGGTTGTCAGTCAGTTCTATTATCAAAAACATAAACTTTTGTTTAGACCTTTCCAGTGTTTCCCTAGAGTACTGGCCTTGGGAGGGCTGCTTATGAAAATGGAATGATCAACAGCAGCAGTTTTGTTTTAAATACAATTTACAGAACATGAAAAGTCTGAAATTTGCATTAATTAAATCTTATATATAGTGAATCTCATATCTAAAGATACATTTAAGATATCTTAAACTGGAGTCTCCATACAACCTAATAATAAATCTAATGTTATTTCAGAATATAATTAGAGATATTTTTAATAGGTATTTTTGCCTTGTCAATATTGAGATGTCTATGTATTTGTTTGTTTCATTCATTCATTTTCAAAAATCAACTTCAACAAACAAACAAGCTCAAGCTGGAAAGATCTCCAAATTAAAAAATAAGTAAATAAAACAAAACAAAATTAAACAAAAACATTTTATTATTTTATCTCAAATAACTAATCTGTCTAATTTAGTCATAAAACAATTGCAGATTACTGGAGTGTAAGAGTGGTGAAGCCAAATAAATGCTATATCGGCCTGCCATAACGTGAGCTTCTGCCTGTTGAACTGACCCRCTGCTGCTCTGCGCTCATAGCAGAGACCGAACATTACATTAGCAAGATGGATTTATGACTGATCGAACGTCCCCATCTTTTTTTATCATCTCTGTGGGTAACAGGATATAAAAAACGTATTTTTTCTCCAAAAACACGGGTGTGAAAAAACTACTGTTGTTAAAGCTTCGCTCTGCGTGACGTGCAGCGGGAGAGAGGGAGGAAATAATCCTGCGACACGACGGAAAGACCTAACTTTTCTACAGGGGAGGGGGAAATTTTGAGGATTTATTCATTCTATACGTGTTTTAAAATGCTATATTTCTTCATTTATTTTCAGAATATTTCGAATAAATGGCCCTATAAAAGAAATTGTTTACCTGCCCGGTCGGGCAGGCATCGGGACACACCCACCTGCCCAAATATGAGTTTTACCTGCCCCGGGCAGTCGGGCAATAGGATTTGTCGAAGCTTGATACTTGAGATCGTATTATACATGAATAAAAACAGTACTTGTAGTTTATTTAAAAGCAGGACAGGCACAAGTTAAGTTAGTTAATTCCTTCATCCAGTTTTAATATGGATACTAGGGTTGAGCGGGATACTCGTTTCAGACGAGTATTCGTTAGGGATAATGCATTTTTGATGAGTAAGAGCAAGAAACAAATACAACTTGTCAATGTCTGTGCTCGTTCTGAAGGAAGATCCTCATTGGGTAACTGACTGTCTTCACGAGCTGTGATTGGCCAGTCACACAGAG